ACAGACGGGTGGCCAAGGCGGTGGTGCCAGAGGACAGTCTCGTGTGCCAAAGAGCGACACGAGCAGGGGGCGGACAGCTGACCTGACGCGGACGCGGACGCAGTCGCAGCAACCTGAGGGGACTCAGTAGTCAGTGTGTACAGGTCCGACCCCGGCTGCCGAGTGAAGGTAGCCAAGTGACGGCCCGTACGAGCACACGTGCAGTGTGTCACGCGCTCGTAGGCAGGGGTGAACTGGTGAACACCCCCGTCCTGGAGTGCACAGCCTGCCACCAAGTTCGTAGAGAACGAGGGGAGGTGGAGACCTGACAGTGTGCCCGACGGGACCGCAGGGCAGGGAAGGACAGTGGAAGAGGTCGCAATGACCGGACCCCCAGAGGGGTCAGCAAGGGAGACAGCAACTGGCCGAGTAAGTGGCTCAAGGGCAGTGCGGTCACGAAAGAAGCAGCGAGAAGCACCTGAGTCCAGTGTGAAGGTGTGCAGTGCGGCAGTCGACGCAGTACCAAGGGGGGGAGACACACGAGCACCTAGAGCAGCAGCCTCACCAGCACCTGGGGTAGCCGACACGTGAGTACCTGGAGCGGCAGACGCACTGGCCCTAATGCCCGGGTCGGGCGGCACACACAAGTACTCAGCACCCTCTCCACTAGTAGACATCACATACATGGCAGATAGAATAGCATCAAAGTCTAGAGCATAGATATCAATCCCCTTCTTCAGGAGATCAAGCCAGCGGGGCAGCTCAGTGGCCTGAGGGAACTGAACACGCCAAGCGTCGTCGAGACGAGAGAAGCAGCGCTGTGTGGCGTGCGGTCGTCCACACTGCTGACCAGTGCGGTCACCAGTGCGAATGACGTACGTGCAGCTAAGACCACCCCCACCCCCGTGCTGAGAGTACCACTCACGGACCTCCTGGGGCGAGAGGGTGTGCTGCTGGCCCTGGCCACCGCCAGCGCCTCCACGGCCACCACCACCGCTGCCACCTCCTCGACCACCCCAACCCCTGCCGCCGCCTCGTCCACCGCCACCCCAACCGCCGCCTCCACTCCTGCCACCTCCCCCGCCGCTGCCGCCACCACCCCCACCGCTACCACTCGCCCCTCCAGCCGAGCCACCACCCCCACTGCCTCCACCGCCCCCACCGCCGCCTCCCCCGCCGTCACCGCCACTACCCTTGCCCCCTTTGCCCTTGCCGCTGCGGCGTCCGCTCGAGGCAGACGCAGTACCGACCTTCTCAGTACCAAGAAGGTCGACAGCAGCAGCAGAGGCGACAGAGGGAAGAAGGGGGGAAGGAGAACACCCCTCAAAGAACGGGGTACGGGGGTCGCCACGAGAGGCACCTACAGCGACTATGCTAGCCTCAGCTGCAAGTAGCTCCTTCTCGAGGAGGGCAATGGTGAGCTCAGTGGGGCAACGAGCTAGGAAGTGGTCCCTGACAGCACGCAGTGTGTCAGGGAGGCGGGTGACTAGGTGATAGAGAGTGAGCCAGAGTGGAGGGGGGTGCGTGGCAAGGAACTCAGCAGGCATGGCGGCACGGAAGCGGGCCTCACTAGTACGGAGGTGCGTGATGAGGTCAGCGACTGTGTGAAAGGAGGCCAGGTCGGGAAACAGGTAGGGGAGGGAGAGACGGCCTAGTGCGGCAGAGGCAGGTGAGGAGTAGCGAGCAACTACAGCTGTGTACAGTGCCGGTGCAGTCTTGTGGTGACCAAAGTGCTCGCGTTCGTCTATCGGCAGGGAGTTGCGAATGGCGAAGCGAGCGTGGGCATCACGAGTCTGCCACTGTGAGCGAGCAGTGCTGTCAGCAGTAGCAGCAGGGGCAGTGACAAGGCCTAGGGCGTGATCGTACAGTGAGATGTCATCCTTGGCTGTGAGCTGTAGGTAGAGGTGCAGGTCATCGAGCCAGGTGTCAAACTTCACAGGGCGGCCCTCAGCATCGAACACGAGAACCTGTGGGCTAGCCATAGGAACAGTAGAAATAGCAGCAGTAGCGGTAGGAGAAGCAGGTAGGACGAACCAGGTAGGGTAGGGCGGCGCGGCTCGGTTCAGGTCGGGTCGCGGCTCGGCTGGGTGGCGCGGCTCGGCTCGGGGCGCGCGGCTCGGCTCAGGTCATGGCGGGGACGGGCCGCCCGCTCTCCCTCTTGTGCTGCGGCGGGAACGGGCCGCCCGGGGCCTCTGGGTGGTGGGCACGGGTCGGCGAGGTAGGCACGGGGCCGGTTGGGGCCCTAGAGGGGCGAGCGCGGGGCCGATCGGAGCCTGAGCGGGGCTAGCGCGGGGCCAAACGGGGCCTTGACGGGGTTAGCAAGGGGCCGACGGGGCCTGAACGGGGCTAGCGCGGGGCCGACGGGGCCTGAAACGGGGCCGAATGGGGCCTGAAACGGGGCTAGCGCGGGCCTGATCGGGGCCTGAATGGGGCTAGCGCGGGGCCGACGGGGCCTGAGAGGGGCTAGCGCGGGGTCTACGGGGCCTGAAACGGGGCTAGCGCGGGCCGACGGGGCCTGAAACGGGGCTAGCGCGGGCCGACGGGGCCTGAGAGGGGCTAGCGCGGGGCCGACGGGGCCTGAAACGGGGCCGACGGGGCCTGAAACGGGGCTAGCGCGAGCCGACGGGGCCTGAACGGGGCTAGCGCGGGGCCGACGGGGCCTGAAAAGGGGGCCGACGGGGCCTGAAACGGGGCTAGCGCGGGTCGACGGGGCCTGAGAGGGGCTAGCGTGGGGCCGACGGGGCCTGAAACGGGGCCGACGGGGCCTAAACGGGGCTAGCGCGGGGCCTGAACGGGGCCTTAAAGGGGTCGACGGGGCCTGAACGGGGCTAGCGCGGGGCCGTCAAGAGGGGCCTCTAGGGGCGTGACACGCCGAGGCGCCCTAGGGCACGGGTAGGTAGGTAGGTAGGTAGTGACGTAGTGGTGGGCCCTTAGAAAATTTCGGTCCTAGGAAGGACCTGCTCTATACCATGTTGGAATCACTGAACAGGAATGAATGAACTAGCAATGAAAAGAGTACAAGTACCTAACCCTAGAATTGTGTACCCCCTATAGGCTAACCCACTGTAGCCTAAACTAACACAACATATATAATGTTTGACAGAAAGTACATCCCAGCTCCTTAGTTTCGAAAATATCTCAAATTTAGTTCCAGGTTCACCCAAAAAGTCTACCTTTGTGGAATTTCGCTAACGCGAGGCCCACATTATGTTCAAAACTGGTCCTGCGGGGCAAACATTTCGACACGTGTCCACTTCGCACCAAGAAAGTTTTGACGGGACAAAAAAACAAAATACCCCTGGGGAAACAGGACACATTTTCGGGAGGGATCAACCCTAAACACCAAGCGGGTTCCCGTGTTTAGGGTTGATCCCTCCCGAAAAAGTGTCCTGGTTTCCCTAGGGGTTTTATGTTTTCTGCCCCGTCAAAACTTCCTGCTGTGAAGACAGACACGTGTCGAAAGATTAGCCCCGCAGGACCAGTTTTGAACATACTTTGGGCCTCGCGTGAGAGAAATTCTAGAAAGTGGGGCTTTTTGAGTAAACCTAGGGCTAAATATGAGAGAATCCTGAAAGTCAGGAGCTGGGATATACTTTCCCTTTTCTTGTCAAGGGCATCAGATTTCACCAACGGCTTCGCCCATTGAATCTCACTGAACCGTAAAATAGCGCGATATTAAATTAAGCAGCCGCTCTCCACCATGCAAAGGCCTGAATGGCGGTTGCTAGAAAGGCATAGTGCCGGCGTAGCGGAAGCCTTGATGTATGAGAGAATAACAAGAGAAACTTGCAACTGAAAGGATTCAGAACAATAGATTGCTTATGGTCTCACACAGCAGAGTATTTATCTCTGCAGTCACCCCTCCAGAATGGCCAATCCACACCAATAATTGTACCACCAATAATGCCAACTCCAATAAAGGAGTGGCAATAATTCTACCCCTAGAACTCTAGACTCCAATAACTCAGCCCCTACAATAACTGTACAATTATTGTAGGGCTGGGAGACTTATAAAGAGGAATACAGTAAAATCTAACAGCATATGTTTTTCCTTATCTTTGTATTTCCAACACGGTTAACTCTGATGCCGGTCGGTAATCCCTGAATGATGGCTGCTGGGTGTGAGGTGGCGTTCCTGGAGTTGTCCAGGCGAACTATTAGTTGTACAATTTTGCTGAGGGGCGTGTAAAATTATAACTCACCTCACCTCAAAATTGTAAAATTATATGTCGTGTTGTACAATTTTGCTGAAATGCCTATACCATTTGCTGTGGATACGCTGGTGCTTACCGTAGTTTCGACTATCATTCGCTCTCGCTCGGCCTTCCGAGACCAGTCACGCACTGCTGGGTCGCGATTGGGTGTGTAACGTGTCCGGATCGTCTCCGCTTGGCGCGCAGTGCGCTTATCCGTTTGATCGGCTTTCGCTCGTGTTTCTCAGGCACGAATCTTGCGGAATGCTGTAAATGAAGTCTATAGTGGATTGTTAGCAGATTCGAAAAGAACATGTGATTGAAATTAGACGACTTTTGAGACGTCTCAAAAGTCGAATAGCGGGGAATGCTCTTATGGAACTCCATAGCGTGGATTGTCAGCAAATTCGAAAAGGTCACGTGATTGAAATTAGATCCTCATAAGGCAGGACGGGTTCGGTAAGCATCATGCCTTGTCGGCATTGTATGCTCGTAATCGCTGCCGTAGTTGTTGTATCATATGGTGTAGGACTGTAGCGCGTACACACGCACAACTTCGTTACAGGCACGAGACACTGTAACCGCAGACAAGACTGGACGGCATAGTAACCGTACGCAAGGCTGACTGGACGGTATAGTAACCGTACGCAAGGCTGACTGGACGGTATAGTACCGTACGCAAGGCTGACTGGAAGTAACCGTACGCAAGACTGACTGAACGTTGATGTTACAGGACTGATAAATTTGTAGGCTCTACAGACAGGGGAAAGGAAAGTACGCAGGGCTGGTGATGCGCAGAAGCGGTGTGGCGTTACGACGGGATATCACATGATGGATTTGAACTGCCCTCTCGTCCTGCGGCAAACGCGCGTGGGATTCGGGTCGCGCGCAGCACGCATTCTGATCTGCTTTCTGCTGGCTGCTTGCCACGTGGCAACCCTCGTTACAACCACTCAAGCAGGTAGTCACACTCCTGGACTTAGACCCGTATCCATGCGGCTTTTTCCCCTTGTTCTGTGCGAGGTGACTGTTGGATCGACTCAAAAGTCGTGGCCCTTTGGCCCGTCTGCTTGCGTTTCTTCCGCTTTTCCTGTGCCCTCCATTGATGGGCTGGGTGAGTCAACACCTCAAAAATTGACCCCCCTTCTGTGCGCTCCCTTTACGGGCTGGGTCAACACAAGGAATAAGCCCACCCCCTCTTTTCCCCTCCGCACCCCCTCTTTTTCCCTCCCCATCCCCTCTCCTCCCCGTCCCATCCCCTCTCCTCCCCTCCCCACCTCCTCTCATCTCCTCCCCACCCCCTCTCTTCCCCTCCTCACTCTCTCACTTCCCTTCCCCACCCCCTCACTTCCCCTCCCCAACCCCTCACTTCCCCTCCCCACCCCCTCTCTTCCGTTCCCCACCCCCTCACTTCACCTCCCCACCCCCTAACTTCCCCTCCCCGCTCCCTCACTTCCCCTCCCCACCCCTATATCCGGAGCAGAATCAGGTGAAAGCCCTCTGCTCTGCTGGGCCGAGCCGAGTGGCCTAGCTGCTGTTAAGTCGAGTCCACAAATCTGAGTCCTCTTCTCTTCCCCTCCCCAACTCCTTTCTTCCTCTCCGCACCCCTCCCCACCCATTTTCCCACAGAAGCATCAGATGTGGGGGACAACACAGGGCCGCTGCTGGGCCGAGTGGGTCAGCTGCAGCAGCAGCTGCACCACCAACTGTTGCCCTCCTCCTCCCACGCCTCCATCCAGCCACTACCTTCCAACCCACACGGCCCAAACTACGTCCTCCTCCCTGAGGGCTTGGATCAGCTGGTTCTCTCTGAGGGCTCGGATCAGCTAGGGGGTTTGGCGTCAGGCGGATTGGGAGCTTTTGAGTCGACTCAAAAGCCATCTCAAGGCTCGGAAACGCTGGTTCTCTCTCAGGGCTCGGATCAGCGAGTTCTCTCTGACGGCTCGAATAAGCTAGGGCGCTTGGTGGCTGGCGGATTGGGAGGTGGTGGCGGGGGGAGGGGGAGAGAAGAGGAGCGGGGTGCAGCAGGGATGGACCATGGGGGGAATGTGCCGGAGGGGGTTGTGCCTGATGCGTTGGATAACCGCATTCCCATGTCTATTCGGTGAGTGTGTCCCTCAATCTTCCTTCATTCCACATTCATCACCACACCTCCCCACCACATTCATCACCAGGATGAGTCCAGAGCGCCTGCAGCTGCCTCTTGAGGCTCTTGCACATGCCATGTGATATCACTCACTCTCTTCTCTTGCCCCACCCACAAACCCCCGCTCCACCACCACCACCATCACCAGAATGAGTCCCGAGCGCCTACATCTGCCTCTGGAGGCGCTGCCACATGCCATGTGACTCTCTTCTCTTCTCTTCTCTTCTCTTTCCCCATCCGCACCCCACCACACCCAACCCCCCCCCCCCTCCCCCCCCCACCATCACCAGAATGAGTCCAGAGCGCCTACAGCTGCCCCTGGAGGCGCTTCCTCAGGCCATCGACAGCAGCGGGCAGAAGAATGTGATGCTGGCGTACCGAGAGCGGTTTGACAAGTGAGAAGGTTGGGGGGAGGGCGCGGGTGCGGGGGAGGGGAAGTGGTTTTGAAGGTGCATGCTCGTTCTAGCTGGCCATCCACAGCAGCGAGCAGAAGAACGTCATGCTGGCGTTTCGCGAGCGGTTTGACAAGTAAGAGAGTGGTGTGGGGGGGGGGGAGAAGGTCAGAGGGAGGAGGTTGTAGAATCTCAAATTGCATGCCCGTCCTAACCATGAGTGACGGCGAGCAGAAGAATGCCATGCTGCCATTCCGAGAGGGCGTTGGGAGGGGAAGGGTGGAGGAGGTGGTGTGGGGGGGAGGGAAAAGGAGGGAAATGGTTCGCTGGGTGCTTGCCTGCCCACTTCCATGATTTTTGAGACGTCTAAGAATGGGTTCTCGGGGTGTTCGCTCATTTCCGCTTGCCATCAATGTTAGATTATACTACTCTTCTGTATCCTGCATTGATCATATAAACCCTAGGATAGAGATAGGCACCCAAACTATGTTTGGGTGCACAACTAGGGTTAACCCTAGTTGGGGGTTGGAATCCAACCTTGGTCCAATTATTGGCCCCCAAGGTTGGGTTGGGAGATTATTGCCCCCCCCCAATAATGTTGGCCCACTTCGGCAAACATTATTGGGACCCCCCAATAATCCTCCAACCCAACTTATTGGTGGGGGGCCAATAATGTTGGCTAGGTACCCAACCAATCCCCCTTCCCTAGCTCCAACTATGTAAACCCTCATGATTCCTAATCAATCCAACGGTTCAATTCTAACAATCAACAGAACAACGCTGTGCTGGCGTTTTTTAAGAGAGGCTTGACAGAGGTGAGGGAAAGTGGTTCTGCGGGTGCTTGCTCGTTTCTATACTTAAAAAATGTTTAGCGTGAAAAGTCCTCCTCCCTCACGACTTCCCCTCTATCCTTCAGGTTCGACGATCTCATTCGCTGCCACGGCCCTCCCTGTCCTGACTTCTCCTGTGGCTGTCTACCCCAACGTGCATTCGTGTTGGAACCCCCTCCTCGACTCAACTCTGCTGCCGCCCGCCCCCTCAACTGCCCCATTCAGCCTGGAAACACCTCCTCTCTCTCAGCTTCCCCCCTCTCCCCCCCGTTCCTTCCCCCTCCCCCACTCCCCTCCTTTCCCCCTCCTCCCCTCTTCCCCTTCAACACCCAACTGTCCCTAGGTTTGGTGATCTCATTCGCTGCCACTGCCCTCCCTCTCCCACCTTCGCCCCCGGCGCCCTTCATGCTCCTCAACTGCCCCATTCAGCCTGGGAATACGTCCTCTCTCCCCTCTTCCCCCTCTCCTCCCCTGCTCCTTTCCCCCACCCCCTCTCCTCTCCTTTCACCCAATAACCCTCAGGTTCGGCGATCTGATTCGCTGCCATGGCCCTCCCTGTCCTGCCTTCGCCCCCTGCGGCTCTGCCTACCCCAACGTGCACGCGTGTTGGAACCCCCTCCTCGACGCGCCTCTGCTGCTGCCCGCCCGCGCGCCCCTCAACTGCCCCAAGACCTTCCCCCTCAAGAAGCCGCGGTTTGCATGGCAGAACAATGACAAGACGTGCTCTCACGCGAGGGACTTCAACCCCCGAGAGCCTTCTGCCATGCAGGTGCGTGTGTTTGGGAAGGTCCGTGTTTTTTACCCTGGTGAAACAGTCAGAGCCATGACAACATGCCCGCGCTCCCCTCAACTGCCCCAAGACGTTCCCTCTCAAGAGGCCGCGGGTTCCGTGGCAGAACCACGACAAGACGTGCTCTCACGCGAGGGACTTCAACCCCCGAGAGCTGTCCGCCATGCAGGTGCGTGTGTTCGTACGGGTGCGAAAGGTGGTCGGTTCAGGTGTGTCTTCTATGCAGGAGTGTCCTGATTGGGAAGGTATGAGTTCTTGCCATGGAGGGACAGAACCATGACAGCACGCCAGGCTTAGTGGCAAAAGACGCAAAGGGCCTGCTGCGTCCTGCGTCTGGACGCAGCGTCCAGACGCAAAGACGCAGGACGCGCGTCCAGACGTAGGACGCACCCCAGGTTTTTTTTCGGGCTGACCATGAATTTTTTTTTTCCCGAATCGCGAAATTGACATTCGCGCTTTTGACGCGAATGTCAATTTCGCCCAAAATCGACCCCCAAAACCAACTCGACATTGGAAACAGCCCCCCCCCCCCCCATTTTCTAACCCTTCTACACAAAATTGCAAAAGCCCCAACCCATCCATCCCAACCGCTCTACATCTACTCCTCCCAACTTTTGTGGCCTCCCCCCAAGCCAATTTAGGGATGCTTACAAGTCATTTGTGTACCCACGTTTTACAAGCCCAATTCTCCTTCGTAAACCCCATAGGTTTTAGCTAGTTTCCGCACCACCGTAATGGCTTCCGCCGACGGTCCTTCCTCTTCCACCGCTTCTAAGGCGGATAATGCCGTTGGCGACGATCCCCCCCAGCGTTTCACCAAGGATGGGGTGGAGAAGAAATCGCAAAACCCTACTCACGATATTTATAGGCATTTTTGGAACTTTGACGATCCAACTAAGACTTCTAAGCAAACCGAGTGCCTTTGGTGTCAGAAGACGTTCGCGTTTAGTAGTAGTCGGTGCACCCAGCATCTCGCCGTATGGAACGACCTGAACGTGCGGCGCGAGGCCGGGCTTGTTTGCGCGTCGGTCCCGAAGCGCGTTTCTGACGCCATTCGCGACAAGAAGGAGACCAAGATAACGAAGCGCAAGGATAAGGAGAAGGCGACGGATTCGGCGCTCAATGCTGTGAGCGGCAAAGGCGGAGCGGGACCGAAGCTGCCTAAGAAGGGGCGGATGGAGGAGCTGGACTGGTACGGCGAGGGGGGGAGCTGTGCGAAGCGTTCGGCCGACGAGTCAATCTGCCTCTACATTGCAGGGACGCGCACGTCGGAGCGTCAGAGCGAGCACCCCCTCTTCCTCAACATGCTTCGCGCCGTTGCTGCCGCCGGAAAGGGGTACATCCCCCCCAAGCGCACCTACGTTGGAGGCGCCGGGCTGCAGGAGTGCAGGCAGCGGATTGAGAAGGGATTGGTGCCCGTTACGAAGACTTGGAAAGAGACGGGTGTCACGATCGCCAGCGACATGATGACGGATAAATGCGGGCGCGCGCAGATGAACGTCATTTGCATTAACGACACTGGTGCGGTGTTCCAGGAGGCGATCGACTGTAAGGCGGAGACAAAGACAGGGGCGTACATCGTTAGCATCCTGCAGCCGATCATCGAGGAGATTGGGCCGCAGCACGTCGTCGCGCTGTGCACGGACGGCGGCAGCAACTACGTGTCCGCCTGCAAGCAGGTGCAGAAGAAGTACCCGCACATCGAGTTCGTCCCCTGCGCCACGCATGTGCTCGACTTGCTGATGGAGGACATCGGCAAGATGGACTGGGCGCAGGAGGTCGTCCCTGTTGCGGGCGACATGATCTCGTTCCTGCGCATCCACACGTGGACGCGTGCCTTCTTGCGCAGTCCCGAGCTGCACGGCGAGAAGGTGCTGCAGGTGCTGCGACCGGCGGGCACGCGCTTTGGGACTCAGTACATTGCAGTGTCTCGTCTGATCAAGATTCGCTCGCAGCTGACGCAGATGGTGGTGCACGAGGACTGGGAGGAGAAGGGAGGAAGCAAGCTGACTGGAAAGGCCTTTGCCAAGTCTGTCATGGATGCGGAGTGGTGGAAGAAGGCGGAGTTGTTTGTGAAGGTGATGGAGCTGCCGTACAAGGTGATGAGGAGGACGGATGGGGAGGCGAAGGGGAAGATGGGGAAAATGTACGACATCATGCTGCAGCTGACGGAGGAGTTGTCCAAGCTGTTGGACAGCGCGGATTGTAAGCTCAAGAGGGTGGAGAAGGAGGGGGTGAAGGAGCATTTGCGGCGGCGTTGGGACGAGAGTTTGGCCTGCCCCCTTCACGTGGTAGGCCGGATTCTGAACCCGGCCAACCAGGAGGAGGGGATCTACCACAAGGATCTTGAGTGCACCAGGGTGATGAAGGCGTGGCTCGCACGCTCGAGGGCCTTCATCGACAAGTACCTGAAGGAGGCCGGCGACACCAAGGGAACGATGAAGGAGCTGCAGGAGGGGATGCTGGCGTTCATTGAAGGGAAAGGTTGCTTCGGGTCAGAGGAGGCGATTGAGGGGCGTGAGGAGCTGAAGGCGGGGAAGGGGGACATGGTTATGTGGTGGAAGGTGAACGGTTGGGAGTACGCCCATCTCGCAGCCGTTGCGTGCCGTGCGCTCTCACAGGCCGTTTCCGCTTCCCCGTGTGAGCGGGGATGGGCTGTGTGGGATGGCGTTCACACGGCGCGCAGGAACAGGCTGGGGTCGGAGAAGCTGCGCGACCTCGTGTTCGTTGCGCACAACTGGACCGTTGTGCACAACCACCACACGAAGGAATCTGGTGCAGGGCCAAGTGGGGAAGTGAGGAAGGCAGGGGTAGTGGAGGGTAACATTCCCACCCCACCCCTTCCCGAGGGGTACAAGTTGGAGGAGGATGGGGAGGTGGAGGAGGACGAGGACGCGTTGTGCGTCGACGAGTACAAGCGCCAGGAAGACATGGAGAAGGAGGCGGAGGAGAAGGCGAAGAAGATGGAGGAGGATGCGGATGAGGAGTAGATGGAGTGAACCGTTGCCATGTTGCTTCTTTGCTTGGATTATGCGTTACCTTGAGCGTGACCTTGAGATAATTGTTGACTATCTTGAATCTTGATTATGGTGGGAAAATTTTAAAGTTGGGGGAAAATTTCCATTGGATGTCTTGTATGCCACCCCCCCCCCCCCCCCCCCCCCCTCTCAACCACAAAAACTTTTTTTTCCGCCTGCCCGGGGGGTTTTTTTGCCCTGCCCGGGCATGCTTCTTTTGGTGCGTCCTAAAGGCTCACCTGCTGCGTCCTGCGTCTAGGACGCTGCGTCTGGACGCAAGCGTCCAAGACGCAGGACGCGTCTTTTGGCACTAAGACGCCAGGGCGGCCCTCAACTGCCCCAAGAAGCCATGGTTTGCTGCGTGGCAGAACCACGACAATACGTGCTCTCACCCGAGAGACTTCAACCCCAGAAAGCCTTCCGCCATGCAGGTATGCAGGTGCGGCCTGCTTGAATGGTAGGTGTGAGTCTGTGTTATGGTGTGGCAGAGCCACGACAAGACGTGCTCGCACCCCCTGCCATGGCTGAATCATCGATGAAGCACTTGGCCCCTGCACACACATCGTCTGCTCCTCATTGTGGTTTCTGTAAGAGCTTTTCACATGAGCACCATCTAATACCCCATGCTTGCATGCCCCATGTGCATACCTCATGCATGCCCATGTCCATGCGTGCATGCCCATGCCCATGCCATGCCTCATGCATGCCCCATGCCCATTCCCCATGTCCCCATGCCCCACGCATGCCCATGCAGGTGTTTCGCTTGCATGACGTCATGGTGACCCACAAGGGCTTTGTCTTCAACGCCACCCACCGATATGTGCATCAGGGCTGCAAGCGATTCAACCCGGTGAGTGAGAGTTGTTGTGGTTGAAGAGTCACCATGAGTCACCATGAGTCACCAAGAGTCACCATGAGTCACCATGACATGAGTCGACGCGTTAACAAGAAAGATCCTGCACGAGCGGGACCCCCCACAAGGGCGTTTTCATCAACGCCACCAACCCCTACATGGTGTCTTTAGAGTTGACTCAAAAGTCACTACGTGCTCCAGGGCTGCAAGCGATTCAACCCTCCTCCATGCCTCTCTTTCTTTCATCTCTCCCTCACCCAATACGCGTACCCGCAGGGCCAGAAGGTGCATCGGATAAAGCAGGCCTTCAATTGGGTCTACTCACAGGGCAACAACTTCTACCACTTCTTACTGAGGGGGCATCCCCTGAACTCAACCTCCTCGTACCTCTCTCCCTTTCATCCCTCACCCAGTATTCCTTCCTACCCTCAGGGTCAAAAAGTGCATCACGCTAAACTGGCCTTTGACTGGGGCTACTCGCAGGGCAACAACTTCTACCACTTGCTTCCTCGTCGAGCCCATTCCCTCCTTCTTGGTCGCTTCACCCGCCACCCCTTCCATCCCTCCCCACCCCTCCCCACCATTTTCCACCTTCTCCCTCTTGTCTCTGTTATAGTCACAATAGCCTTGAATGTGCCTAAAACGAAAGATAGAGAGCACAGACGGATTTCTGCACAGCGGCTTCAAACGTTGATAGCGTTCTGCTTACAGCTGCAAATGACTTGATTCAAATTGGATCTGGAGCGTCTTCACGTCGTCTACAATTAGCAATTTAGATTGCACGATTTGATAAAGAATTGACGACACAGCGTCGGTTTGAACGAACGGTACTATGGCAGCCACTATAGTCTTAGAACACAAGATAGGAAGAGTTACGAGTTGGGAATGACTCCCAGCTCCTACAAACCCCAAGAGCCGAGGTACAGTGATGTGGAACAGTGCCACACTGTCCCCAACCACGAAGGGTCTCGAAACTACCCTTCACTAGGGCCTACACCAAGTGAAATGTTACACTACACAAAGTAATGTAACTATCTTCAATATCTTGAGGTGTACCCTTTTGGCGAGCTTCGAAATCACTTGAGGCTTGACACCAAGGCTCGGGCTCTTCATCACAAACTCATCCTTGAGTTCTTGATGGGTCTGCTGCACACACCTGCGACACGCCGAACGTTCGACACAGGACAAAATAGAAACCGCGCACGACAAAATAGAAACCGCGCGCGAGACACAAACGACCGCGTAACACGCGTCTAGCGATAACTCGCTATTGACTCGACACACACACTCGACATCATGACTCAACATTCACACACAATTATAAGCATGAAATATATATTATCCCATGCCCTCATACCATTCCATACACACACGCATTCACGCACACGGACAACAAGCCGAGTGCAAACCGTAGGGTTGCACCAACAAACTCCCCCTCGGATTGTTGGCCTTAGGATATGTTGCTCTCTCAGTTCAGAGCCATCCCAGCCAGCTTGCAACACTTCCAATGCTGCTGCTCCACCAGCCTCTTGGTCATCATGTCAGCCGGCTGCCCCGTGGTCTTCACGTAGCGCAACTCAACTTCACCCGCGGTTACCATGCTCCTCGTCCAATGCCACTTCACCCTCATGTGCTTCGTGAGTCCATGCAACACAGGGTTCTTAGCAAGAGCAATGGCACCCTGGCTGTCACAGTACAGTGGGGTAGGTCCTTGCTGCTCCTCCCCCAATTCAGCCAACAAACGCCGCTGCCACAAAATCTCCCGTACGGCACGGAAGAGTGCCATGTACTCGGACTCCACCGAGCTCAAAGCTTGGTCAACCTGCTTCTTGCTCTCCCAAGCAGTTGGGCCTCCACCAACACAGCATATGAAGTCTCCCACACTTGTCATGTCCTCTGGTTCTGATGCATATGAAGCATCTGAGTAGGCGGTGAGGAACAAACGCCCGGGTTCAACACCATCCGCGCCCTTTTGGCGCCTTTGTGCCGCCGCCGAGTATTGCAGCCCAACGGTCGGTGTTTGGCCAAGATACTTGGCCACCCTCATTCCAGCTGCTACCTGCTCCTCATTAGGGCATTGCACAACCCTAGCCAGCTGCCCGGTAGCAAACGCGACGTCCGGTCGGGTGTTTACCGTCGCATACATGAGGCTGCCCACCAACGAGTGAAATCGGCGCCTCTCCTCTTCACCAACGCTCTCCTCCTCTGGTCCCTTCACACACTTGAACCCAGAGGGAAAGGGTGTAGCCACATGGCCTTCACTCTGCCCAAAGTTGGCAGCCAATGCCTCCAGGTACTTTCGTTGATGCACCCGCATGCACCGCTTCTCCACATCTCGTTCGATGTGGAGCCCAAGGTAGAAGCTCACGTCACCAAGGGCCTTGCACTTGAACTTGTCTTGAAGCTTCAGCATCACCTCCTTCACAAGGTCAGAAGAGGGTGAGAAAATGAGGATGTCATCCACATAAACCACCATGAAACTCCTCTGCTCCCCCTCGCCAAGCATGAACAAGGAGTGATCGGCCGTTGAGGGAGTGAAGCCGATCCCCTCCAACACTTCGCGCAGCTTCATGTACCATTGCCTAGGGGCCTGCTTCAGCCCATAGAGGGCCTTCTTCAGCTTCCACACTCTGCCACTACCATCATCAAACCCCTCTGGCTGCGCCATAAAAATCTCCTCCTCAAGGATGCCGTTAAGGAATGCCGTTACGATGTCCATTTGCTTTACTACCCATCCTTTGATGGCGGCTCCCGCGAATAGGGTTCGCAGCGTCGTCGGCTTCACCACAGGGGCAAACAGCTCCTTGAAGTCCACCTTCTCCTTCTGCTGGTACCCCTTGGCTACAAGCCTAGACTTGTAGCGCTCGATCTTGCCGTCGGCATCCGACTTGATTTTGAAGAGCCACTTGGACGTTATCGTCGTACGCCCCTCCGGTAGCTCCACCAATTCAAACGTGTCATTCTCCTCGATGCTCTTCAGCTCACTCTCCATGGCCTTCTTCCACTCCTCAGCATCACTACTCTCCAAAGCCTCCTTGAGAGTTGCTGGTTCTCCCGGCATCTCCACCGGAGAGAAGAACGCGAAGGCACACTCCTCGTAGTCACTCTCCTCGTCGTCTCCGACCATCATTGCCGCTCCGGCCAGGGCTGTCTTGCCCTGCTTTCCCGGCGCATCATAGGTCAGCCTATTAGGGGGTTGAACTCTCCTCTTCCCCCTTCCTTCCTCCTCAGCTGCAGGGACTTGAAAGCCTTGGCGTTGCTGCGGTGTGGCTCGAATCCGTGGAGCACTCGTAGTACGGGAAGGGAGTGACGGTGCACGCTCGCTCACTTGCTGCACCTCCTCCTCTTCTTCCTCTGCATCATTGGCCTCCTCTCCCCCATTCACAAGGGAGGATTGCCTTGTGGTTGTGCTGCCGCTGCTCAGCTCCAAAGGCAGCTCCACATGCTCCAAACCGGAACTCTTCACCTCCCCAAACCGCACGCCTATCTTCGCCTCATTCTCCGCCTTCCAATCCTTGTACATGAAGTTCTCCATGAACTTGCAGTCCCTGTTCACCAAGAACTTCTTGGTGAATGGGTCCCAAAGAAGCCATCCCTTGCTGTTTTGAGCCATGCCCAAGTGCACGGCCCACACCGCCTTGGCACCAAGCTTGTTGTGCCGAAGATGCTTAGGCACGAGCGCCATGCACATGCACCCGAACACCCGAAGCATATCCACCTTTGGCTTCCTTCCTAGCCACTCCACATAGGGCACCCATTTTTCTGCTCCCACATGAGTCAAGGCTCTGTTCTTGGCCACACACGCGCTCCGCACCGCATCAGGCCAGAAATAGTCGGGTAGCCCGGCTTCAATGAGCAACCCGCGTGCCGCCTCCGTGATTGTGCGGTTCGCTCGCTCGGCGATGCCGTTCATTGCAGGGGAGTATGGCATGGTGAGGGAGTGCCGAATACCATTCTTCTTCAGCCACAACCCAAACTCCTTGCTCAGGAACTCCCCCCCTCGATCGGTGCGGATTGACTTGACTAGACGGTCTTGTTGCCGCTCCACCATCGGGAACCAATCCGTCTTCAACGTTTCAGCCACGTCGCTCTTCTTGGCCAGCACGTACACCCAAGTCATGCGGGTGTAGACGTCGACAATGGTGAGAAAATACTCAGCTCCAGCAGCTCCAAGCTTCAGGGGGCCCACCACGTCCATCACCACCTCATCAAGCGGTGCCTTTGCCGTTGCCTCCGAACTAGGGAACGGAAACCGGGTGAACTTGGCTTGAATGCACGTCGGGCAGCCAAGCACCTCATCGGGCTCCCCCTTCACACGTATGCCAGCAACCATCTCATTCTTCACTAGCTGCTGCAAGATGGGCAGGGCCACATGCCCCATGCGCCGATGCAAGGTGAGCCAATCACACTCCCCCGTAGCCGAAGTTGGATTGGAGAATGCCGCGCTCGCAATAGCGCCCCACATACTCTCTCCGTAGTCCTCCTCCGCTGCTGCCTCTGGGTTCTCCTCACCCTTTTGCTGCTCCTTGGTTGCTGCACCACTCTCCTTAGGTTCACTGAACTTGCTGGTCCCTCCAGGTTTGCTCTTCTTGAGCTCATTCTCCTTAGCGCGACCGTTCGCGCCATCGTCGCTATCGACCGCTCCATCCTTGGTGCTGATGCTTGCTGCCACTTGCCTCTCCTTAGGCATAGGGACCACTGGGATCTGCCACATCTCGTTGTAGACATCCCTGTCCTCATGAAGGTCCCAAAGAATTCGATCGCCAAGCCTTGCGGTGTAGGTCTTGGCTCCCTTCGAGTTCGTGTCCATGCCGGCCTTTGCCAACCGCCGCACGGAAATCAGGTTTGCAGCAAGGCTGGGCACCCAAAGCACGTTCTTGAGGCCCACCATCTTCCCATCAGCACCCTTGAACATGGTCTTGCCCATGCCTTTCACCTCTGCTCGCTGCCCCAAAGCCGATGTGACATGCTTCACCGGTGACGGCTCGAGTTCGGTGAGCAAGTCCGGGCGAGGTGTCATGCTATAGGTAGCGCCACTATCAATCACCCAATAGTCCAGGGGGTGTAGGGTCACCTTCCCCACAGCTGCTGGCTCCTCAAAGCCTTCTTCCTTCTCTGGACCAGCCGGTACTTGCGTCGACACGAAGTAGAATAGACCCGGGTATCGATCGTCGCTCGGGTCTTTGTCGTTGTCTCCGCTCTTCATGTTTGCAGCTCCGCCACCGCGACCGCCACGGCCTCCACGGCCTCGTCCTCTCCCTCCTCCTGCTCCTCTACCCTCTTGGCCTTGAGCAGGGGTCCAACCATCAGGGAGTTTGTAGCAGTCGCGCCACATGTGTCCGCTCTTGTGGCAATAGTGACACTCGCCGTCGAATCGGCCGCGACCGCGTCCGTAGCTCTTGTCGTCGCTGCCGTAACCGCCACTCCTGCGGCCTCGGCCGAAGTTGCTGCCACCAAACCTTCCTCCCCCTCGTCCTCTGCCTCTTCCTCGACCATATTCACGGCCGATGCTCGCTGCCCCAGCGCCATCCGCACTCGCCAACTCACGGCGGCGGAAATCCTCTTGAAGGATAGCTCGCTTCACGTCTTCAAGCGAGAGGCGGGGCAAGTCGCGATTAAGGTTGATGATGAGCGAGGACCACGACTCTGGGAGTAAGGCCAGCAACTTGGTCTTCTTTTGGAGCTCACTGTAGTTCAAATCAGCTCCCTCAAGCCGCGTCAACAAGTCGAAGAATTTCTGCACCCCTTCTTCAACCGCTTCGTCTTCTTCAATTCGTAGTGCCGCCATTTGCCGTTCCAACACCACCGCTACCGCCGCTGTTGCAGGAGCATGTACACCCTTGAGAGCAGCCCATGCCTTTGGTCCTTTCTCTGGTTCACGCTGGAATGGCTTGATGTGACGGATCTGACTGCTCCCCAACGCTTGCCCAAGTAAGAGATAGCCTTGTGCGCTCTTCCGCACCCACGGGCTCTTCTCCGGGTCGTTCTCGGGGCGCTTCTCCGTTCCTTCCATCACCTCCAGCAGGTCATAGTGGTCAAAGATGTTCTCCATCTTGAAGGACCATTCAGCAAAGTTGTCACCGTTAAACTTGTCAAGCCCAAACACCCTAGGCTCATCCCTAGGTGGGCCAAGACTTGGTTGCATGGGCGCCATGGCTGAATCACGGGGTTGGCCTTGATCTTGAGCTTCTCCACTGCCACCAGCACCTCTGCCACCCCTTTCCTCAGGTCCAGACATTGTCGAAACTGCTCCAAGGGGCTCTGATACCACTTGTTATAGTCACAATAGCCTTGAATGTGCCTAAAACGAAAGATAGAGAACACAGACGGATTTCTGCACAGCGGCTTCAAACGTTGATAGCGTTCTGCTTACAGCTACAAATGACTTGATTCAAATTGGATCTGGAGCGTCTTCACGTCGTCTACAATTAGCAATTTAGATTGCACGATTTGATAAAGAATTGACGACACAGCGTCGGTTTGAACGAACGGTACTATGGCAGCCACTATAGTCTTAGAACACAAGATAGGAAGAGTTACGAGTTGGGAATGACTCCCAGCTCCTACAAACCCCAAGAGCCGAGGTACAGTGATGTGGAACAGTGCCACACTGTCCCCAACCACGAAGGGTCTCGAAACTACCCTTCACTAGGGCCTACACCAAGTGAAATGTTACACTACACAAAGTAATGTAACTATCTTCAATATCTTGAGGTGTACCCTTTTGGCAAGCTTCGAAATCACTTGAGGCTTGACACCAAGGCTCGGGCTCTTCATCACAAACTCATCCTTGAGTTCTTGATGGGTCTGCTGCACACACCTGCGACACGCCGAACGTTCGACACAGGACAAAATAGAAACCGCGCACGACAAAATAGAAACCGCGCGCGAGACACAAACGACCGCGTAACACGCGTCTAGCGATAACTCGCTATTGACTCGACACACACACTCGACATCATGACTCAACATTCACACACAATTATAAGCATGAAATATATATTATCCCATGCCCTCATACCATTCCATACACACACACATTCACGCACACGGACAACAAGCCGAGTGCAAACCGTAGGGTTGCACCAACAGTCTCTCTCACCCAGTTCTCATACCCGCAGGGCCAGAAGGTGCATCGCATGAAGCTGGCCTTTAACTGGGGCTACACGCAGGGCAACACCTTCTACCACTTTCTAGTCGAGGCCATCCCCTCCTTTGTCGCTTCAACCCTTCCACCCCTCTCCACCCCTCCCCTTCTCATCTTTCTCCTCCAGTTCTCCTATCCACAAGGCCAGAAGGTGCATCGCATGAAGCTGGCCTTTAACTGGGGCTATACGCAGGGCAACAACTTCTACCACTTTCTTGTCGAGGCCATTCCTTCCTTCTTTGTCGCCGCTGCAGCACTGCCCAACCTCAGAGATATCCCCATAATAGCCGAGCGATTTCAGGTGGGTGGGTGTGGTTAGGTGATCTCCCTTCTTCGTCGCCGTTGCGGCACTGCCCAACCTCCGAGACATTCCCATAATTGCTGAGCGCTTTCAGGTGCATGTCTGCATGAGAGGGTTGGTGGGTGGTGTCTGAACTTGAGCTTAGAATGGATACATTAGTAATGAGTTTGTAGCTCCTTAAGTACATCCAGAATAAGCGAGGTATGGATGGGGAGGGAATCGGGAACAATCTTTAGAGATTGGGGGTAATCCCAAGACAATCCTTAATTGGCGGGTTGGAGATTGCTTGGAGATCACATTTGGGTTTGGTTGGGATGTGTATATACATCCAACCAAACACAAAGTGCAAACTACACCAAACTAGGATATAAAAAGTACAAGTATAAAAGGTGAGATTGAGGGCTAACATTAACACCCCCCCATAGACGTCAATCAAACTCAAGGCAGAGAAGGTGGGGCACACAGCCCCATGGCGCCAAGAAGACGATGGTGAGGAACCTTCCCAAGAGGCTTGGTGAACAGATCAGTCAAGTGGCAGTCGGATGCAACGTACTCCACCTTCAACTGATTACGCTGGACAAGATCACGGATGAGTGACGAAGTTCGATGTGCTTGGTTCGAGTGTGAAACACGGGATGCTAGGAGAGGTGGATGGCACTTTTGTTCACACCAGAGGGTGGGGTTGGACTGAGGGTAGCCATGCTCCTGGAGGAGGAAGGTGAGCCAATGGGCCTTTGAGCCGCCATGGTCCCAGCGTAAAGTTCTGCCTCACAGGGGGAGAGGGAGACTGCAGACGACCTGGTGGAGTGCCAGCTAACAACTCTGCTTCCAAGGGTGAAGCAGTAGCCCTGAGAGGAGCGTCGGTCGGTCTGGTCATCAACCCAAGAGGAGTCACTGTAGCCCTCCAGTCGAGGAGGAGAAAGACCACCAAGTGTGAGGACATGAGACTTCGTGCCCTGCAAATAGCGCAACACCCGCTTCGTTGCCTTCCAGTGGAGATCGGTGAAGCGTCCAGGAGCCACATAGCAAGAGAGGACACTGACAGGGTATGCACGTCAGGCCGGGTGCACATCATGGCGTACATGAGGGACCCAACAAGCTCCCGGTATGGCTCGGAGCAGGCCTCTGGTGTGGGTATGGCTAGAGTTGTGATTTGGTGCTGCAGCGGCAGCGGGGTGGCCATGGGTGTGCACGATTCCATCTCAAACCGCTTGAGAACATTGTCGATCTAGAACTTATGGGAGAGCGAGATGGTGCGAGCCTGGCGATCACGAATGATCTCCATCCTAAGGTAATGCTAGAGGTCTCCAAGGTCCTTCATCAAGAGTGCCTTGCTCATGGCCGCCTGGACAGAAGTCATCTGGGCCGAGTCATTAGAGACTTGGATGAAATCATCGACGTAGACAAGGATGTAGAATGACGCAGAGTGACGGCGAATGAAGAGAGTCGGGTCAGCAGATGATGGGTGAAAGTCCAATGTGAGGAGGACTTCTTTCACCTAGTTTAAGTTCAAAAGTTGAGATTGAGGGCTAACACTAACAGGTGGGTGGGAATGGATGAGTGGTGTGAGTATGCGGTGTAATGGTGGTGGTTGTGTCTGTGAGTAGACTTGCACAGTCGTCAGCCTTCAATCATTACAATAGGTTCATTGCAACTCAGTTTTTGAACTTCCGCATCTCGTCCGTGTGTGAAGTGGGATTTAAAGAGGGGGAAGGTCAACAAATGTTGATCTGCAGTGCAGTGAGATTTGCTGTGGCATTCATTGCACTAGGTTCATGGCTTCGCCAGGTGTATGCTCGTCAGTCTTAGTTATATACTTTGTTGATGGTTAACTTCTTTATCCTTCCCTCTTCCCTCCTTGCACACATACAATGGGAATTTTGCGACAGCATACGGCGCATCTTCATAGGGGTGAACGGATTCCACTAATCAAACATGAATCCCCACTCACTCCCCCCTCAATCTCCTCCCTCCTTGCACACATACAGTGGGACTTTTACGACGGCATAGGGCGCATCTTCATAGGGGTGAATCGAACGGACATGAGGGCCTTGCCAGCAGCCGATGCGGACCTCTTCCACGTTGACACGCTCTATGTGGTAAGTGGGGCGATGGGTGCATGGGTGCATGGGTGCATGGGTGCATGGGTGGGGCACATGGGTGCACGGGTGGGGCACATGGGTGGTTGGATGGGTCGATGAGTTGGGTGGGGATGGGTGGCTGGATTTGTGGGTGTATGGGTGCATGCACGTGTGCATACATGCATGGGTGGGTGCGTGGGTGGGTGGGTGCGTGGGTGGGTGCGTGGGTGGGTGCGTGGGTGGGTGCGTGGGTGGGTGCGTGGGTGGGTGCGTGGGTGAATGCGTGGATGGTTGTGTCGATGGACGTTTGGGTATTTCTCCATCTTCATTCGATTTTTTTGCCAATTGCCTCCGCACCTTCTCTCTTCCCGCTTTCGTCCAGCCCTCCTTGTCGACGGAGCTGCGACGGCACCACCCATTGTCTCCCCCCCTCTCTCTCTTCCATTGCCACGCTCCTCTCGCCTCCTCCCCCTCCCCTTTCTCCCACCCTCCAGCCAATGCTCCAAGAGTGTGGGGCACCCAACAAGGCGCTCTGGATGGAGCTGAGGCGGCACCATCTCCTGTTTCACCCCCTCTCTCTCTCTCTCCTCCATCCCCCCCTTCCACTCCCCCTTCGTGTCCCCAGCCCATGCTGCAGGAGTGCGGCGCGCCCAACAAGGCCCTCTGGATGGAGCTAAGGCGGCACCATCTGCTGCACCCACAGGGCCTGCCTCTCTTCCGCCCCGACTTCTCCTACCACTACCGCCCAGCGCTCTCCTACCAGCAACTCACCCACCTTCCCCCCGACTGGGTGGTCGTGCTGGCACAGCGGCCCTCAGGGAAGCGCTCCTTCACCAACTCAGAGGAGGTTAAAGAAGCGGTTCTGGCCGCGTTTCCTCCGGAAAGAGTGGTTGTGTTCGATGGGTCGCTGCAGCTCATGCAAGGTGCGTTGCTTGCCCTTCATGGGGTCTGGTCTGGTTCTGAGGCCCCTTGGGAGGCCTTCTCCTACCAGCAGCTCACCCACCTCCCCCCCGACTGGGTGGTGGTGCTGGCGCAGCGTCCCTCAGGGAAGCGCTCCTTCACCAACTCAGACGAGGTTAAAGCGGTCGTGCTGGCCGCGTTTCCGCCGGAAAGAGTTGTTGTGTTCGATGGGTCGCTGCAACTCATGCAAGGTGCGTTGCTTGCCCTTCATTGGGAGTGGTTCTGACATCCTTTCTCTTCTGATGAGTGCAGGCATCCCACCTCCTTCCTCCCTGTCCCACCCGGCCCTCGCCCCATCTTCACAGCGCATGCTTTGTTTCACCGAATGGGAGTCACTTTTAAGAAATTTCAGATTCGATTATTTGTGAGATGGCATCGGACGGTACTCTCCAACCTCATCTTCCTTAACTACCTACCTCCCCCCCTCTTCCCCTCCGCCCCCCCCCCCCCCCCCCCCCCCTCTCCTCCCCCCTACCCTATCTGCGCCCCCTCCCCCTGTTTCCCTTCCCCCCCACACCTCGTCCTCTCCGTTCCCACAGCACGTGCTTTGTTTCGTCGAACTCGGCTCTTTGTGGGCGGCCACGGGGCAGCACTTTCCAACCTCATCTTCATGCCCGTCAGATCGCACCTCTTGGAAATTCGCCCTAACAAATGCCCCAACTGCTGTTACAACAGTCTCGCATATGCTTGCTCTATAAAGTACTATTTGCTGTTTAGCGAAGGGACCTGCGACACCACTGTAGTTGCGGACGTTCCTAGGCTACAAAGGACGCTTAATTCCATTGCCAGGAATCTCAAAAAGGAGGATGTGGCTCTTGAACGAGCTTGGGAGCCTGCTTTATTAATATAAATATAATTGTTTCTTAATTTTGTAAGTGGATATAATTGGTTAATGAGCAACAAAATGACGGCATACACGACTGTTCCTGCCAACAGCACTTTCCAACCTCATCTTCATGCCCGTCAGATCGCACCTCTTGGAAATTCGCCCTAACAAATGCCCCAACCGCTGTTACAACAGTCTCGCATATGCTTGCTCTATAAAGTACTATTTGCTGTTTAGCGAAGGGACCTGCGACACCACTGTAGTTGCGGACGTTCCTAGGCTTCAAAGGACGCTTAATTCCATTGCCAGGAATCTCAAAAAGGAGGATGTGGCTCTTGAACGAGCTTGGGAGCCTGCTTGATTAATATAAATATAATTGTTTCTTAATTTTGTAAGTGGATATAATTGGTTAATGAGCAACAAAATGACGGCATACACGACTGTTCCTGCCAACAGTACCCAACAAGTGCATCGTTACCACTCGCGACATTCGCCTCGACCACTGTTCCCGCCACTGTTCACGATGTGACCCAACCTCACGGTTCGGTTGGTAACCCGCGCTCCGGACCTCCGCCTCGACATTTCCCAACCTCGGCGCTAGGCCCGTAGCGCACCCCATTTTCTCGCGTTACCGTTACCACGCTAGATTCGCGATATAATATTCGTTCATTCCTTCGCTCAATGTACTGTTTTGCTTCGATAGTGCAGATCTCGTTCGTTCGCTCAATTGCACTCGTAACACTTGGTATTCAGAGCCTACGATCTCTTCTCGGACCGCGACCACACCTTCGCTTCCCCATTATCTCAAATTTTTGGAGGGGGTAGACGTCTCTCAGTGACCAAGCACCGCTGCCCGTGTGCTCTCTCGTAAGCACACTCAGCCACGACCGAGGCTCTCGCTGAAGCTAGCCCGACACCCCCACCATGCACGAATCTCGCCGCATTCAACTCGCGACGTTGACGCAAGACCGCCTCGACGAATTAATGCGCCAGCTCGAGGAGTCATCGCTCGAAGTCGCGACACTCATGGCGGAACACGACTCCGCACGTCAGCAATCAACATCAAATGCACCAGCGCCAGCACCCGCAAATGCACCTGCACAATCAGATGAGCCGATTGTCATCTCATCAGGTACACTGTCGCAGCATGACAGCGTGGGACAGCGCCCAGGCGCAGCCAGCGACGGCGCCGCCCAATCTATGCCGGGCATAGAGAGGACCAGGACCGCACCGGGCGTAAACGTACCTCGCGAGGCTCGTCGTCACGTCGGATTTGCAGCACCGGCCGGCAACGACGACATTGGTGAGCCGATGCCACTCAAGCTGTAGCGCTTGCCCTGCTTCGATCCTAGCCAGCGTGGAGGTCCGACGGTTCAATCGTGGGTTTTCACGATGAACGTGTTTTTTTACGCGAACTACGTCACGTCGGATGCAACGAAGATTCGGTACGTTGTATCGTTGCTGCGGGGCCCGCCATGGACTGGTGGCGATTCATCGTGACGTCGCCGCGCGCCTACAAGCCACTGTCACAAGAGGAAGGGCCCGCGGGCCCAGCCGTCACCTGGAGTTCATTCTGCGAGACAACCCAATACAGCACATGGGATGCGTGGTGCGCAGGGCTTCGGACGCGCTTCGAGCCAATCGCGGCCTCGATTTCAGCACGTCGAAGCTGCGCACTTGGCGGCAGCTTGGGTCGGTTCAAGACTACACCAGTGGTTTTCTCGCGCTGTGTGAGCAAGTCGGCTACATGCACAAAACGGAGTGAGTGGATCGCTACGTCGGCGGCCTGAAGCCGGAAATTTCGCAAGAATTTCTTCTTTGCGGGATCTCGAACTTCAATGAAATCTTGGCGCTAGCGGAGAAAATCGACATTTTGCGTTGTCCGAGATCGATGTCCTACTACGGACATCGCCCTCGGGGACCGACCGAGCACGCTACTGTACACGCCGTTGCGACGAATGCAGCTGCCGCGCCGTTTAGAGGGCGCTGCTTCGCGTGCAACAGGCCGGGCCATCGCAAGAGCGAATGCCCAGAGGAGCTAAGGCGCCGTGGAGCAGAGCAGGGGAGGGAGTCGGGGAGGCAGGGAAACGCCAACAGTCAGTAGAGTATGGCCCCACTACTGACGAGACTCACTGCTCGCCCAACCTCACTGAACCTCACCGAGTCACAGTAACGATTCACGCAATCGAAGCGGCTCGCCTGAAAAAAGAGGGTACAGCGACATTGCAAAATACTGATTCACGAGAAAATACAGGGGGTAAAAGTGAAGATTTTTATTGACGGAGGAGCAAGTCACAGTTTAGTTAATACCGCGACGGCACGGAAGCTGCAACTGACACTTAGCCGCTGTTAACCAGAGATTGACGCACGCTTAGTTGACGGCACGCCGCTGGCTATACGGGAGAATGTGGAGAGAGTGAAGGTTTGTTGCGGGGGGGAATTTCAGGTTTACATAGGAAATGCTCGCGACGACGCTGGATGGGCATGATATTTTACTGGGACGTGATTGGCTGCGACGCTACAATCCGCGAATTAACTAAACGACACGTAGGTGCACTGTGCGAAGCGGTGGTAACTGGGTCGAACTACCTCGCTGGCGGTCGCCTGAGTCTTCAACGGTCCACGTCAACGCCATTACGATGAAACGGGCTGTCGCCGCTGGAGCTGATGTGTACGCAGTGGACATCATGGTAGTGGAAGAAGCAGAGGAGCCGAGTGATTTTTAGAAACTGCTGGCAGCCGTACTGCCCGAACTACAGGAACTACTGCAACGGTATCCGGGGATTTTCCCAGACGATTTGCCGGAGGGACTGCCACCTCAGCAAGCACACGACCACCGCATAGAGTTAGAACCGGGGGCACAGCCAACTGTACAGCGACAGTTCAGACTGACACAGCCCGAGCTCAACGAACTGAGGAAGCAGCTAGATTACCTACTGGAGAAGAAGTTCATCCGACCGAGTTCGTCACCGTTTGCCGCACCGATACTGTTCACACCGAAAAAACACGGAGGGTTTTGCACATGTATCGACTACCGCGCACTGAACAGGGTAACAGTTAAGCCCTGATATCCCATACCCCGCGCTGACGAACTGATAGATCAACTGCGAACAGCCCGGGTATTCTCGAAGATCGACTTACGGGGAGGTTACCACCAGATTCGAGTCGAACCGTCAGATTGCGCCAAGACAGCTTTTAGAACTAGGTACGGATAATTCGAGTACATGGTAATGCCCTTCGGACTGACCAACGCCCCGGCAACGTTTCAAATGACGATGAACGAGGCATTTTTGCCGCTTTTAGACAAATGCATGATAGTTTACCTCGACGACATCCTAGTTTACAGTCGCGACAAGCAGCAGCACTTAGCAGATCTGGAAGCAGTGTTCAAGATTCTAGACGAGAATAGATTACTGACCAAGGGTTCGAAGTGCGAGTTCTTTCAGGGCCGGCTGGAGTTTCTGGGGCACGTTATTTCGGAGGCTGGAGTTGAAATCGACCCAAAAAAGTTAGACACGGTGAAAGCGTGGCATCCCCCGACAAATATCACGGAGCTGAAGATCTTTTTAGGGTTCGTTAATTACGTGCGCCGGTTCGTTCCCGACATGGCACGGTTAACTGCACCACTGGCGGATTTGCTACAGAAAGGGGTCGTTATTACGTGGGGGGAGAAAGAGCATGCTGCCTTCTCTGCCTTGAAAACTGTTCTCTATTCACTGCCCGTACTGCGCACTGCTGACCCACACTGCCCATTCGAAGTAGTTACAGACGCAAGCGACATCGCCATCGGAGCCGTACTGCTACATGACTTCGGCAATGGATTACAGCCCATCGCTTACGAGTCACGAAAATGGCATCCGCCCGAGAAGAATTACCCGATACACGACCGCGAAATGCTCGCGATCGTGCATGTATTCAAAGTTTGGCGCTGTTACTTGACCGGCGCCGACGTGACAATACGGACGGACCACAAATCACTACAGTACCTCCATGCACAGCTGTGAGGATCGATAGGATCGAGTTCAGAAAGAGGAAATGTATTGAATGATTCACCTGGGTACAACATGAGGCTCTATATAGTCTCGACACAAGGCCAATAACCTAGGTGTTACGCGAATGTTCTAAGGGTCGCGAAGC